AACCTAACCCTTGAACTGCCCTCTGCAGGTCTCAGACAAAATGATGTCTTCACTCTTACTCAAAGAGTTTTTAGAACTACGAATGCTAGCTGTAAGCTAGCTCCAGAAACACGTCCCGACACACGTGTGAGTTTACGTATGAACAGCTCCAGCTGCCTGCAAAGCATCACAAACAGCTCGTCTTTCACTTCTGACTGTCAGAGACACAAAGAGGTCGACAGTCTGAGAACCTCGGCTGGTGGCTTCTGCAACACAGATGAAGATACTTTAATATAAGTTACACGGTGCACAGACTTTGACCCTGAACTTGTACAGGGTGTGTTGTACCGCGGTACTAGCTGGGAGGGGCTCCAGCTCGACGCCCCCACCCACCAACGACCCTGAACTGGACTCAACTGAACTAACTTATCAGAACTCATCCAAAACTCACAGTGGTTTTTACACAAATACACGAAGGGATATAACAACCACGTGCGTTTGTAACGATTACACCCTTGTGAATTACCTTGTAGAGCGGTCTGCGCACATCAATTGGACAGCTCTGGATGACCTCATCAACGACATCAGAGATAGGCTGCATGAAGTCTGGATTAGCAAACTGGAAAACACACATTCACATGTCGTGTATTATTATTTATGTTCTTTTGTTTTTATCAGCATGTGCAGGCATTAGAACAGAGCAGCTGCGGGGTTCCTCAGGGTTCTGTTCTTGAGCCTCTACATTTTCAAACTATATGAAGTTAATTTGTTACTTTTATTTTTGTTGACTGAATGAAAACAGATTGTAGCAAAATGTAAATATAAAAAGACTTTGTTGTAACCTCGGGGTGGAAGAAGATCTCAGGGCCCAGGAAGCGTTCGTAGCCCACGTCAATGTGGAAGGCGGTCTTACTGATGGCGTTGACTCCTCGGTACTGTTTGATCCACTTTCCTGGGTCAGAGTCATACTTTGTGAACTCCTTCACGATGTCCGGACAGATGTAACAGTATCGCTCCTACACTCATAAGTACACACAAATACACACTAAAGTACACAGAAGTACAGACGGGAGGACAGCAGTGGAGGAGCACTGTGGTACCTTCACGGCCTTGGCGGTCTCCAGAGACTGCTCCGGTGGGATCCCCACCTCTCGGTCTCTAAGAAGCTGTTGGATGAAGAAGGTGATGTCCCGCCCTGCTATGGGGATGTGTTTTATACAGCTGCCAATCACGTAGCCCTCAGCCTGTGACACATGAGTCGACCGGTCAGTCAGCAGAGAGGCTCAAACCCCGCCCCCTCTGTTTCAGGTGGGTGTGTTTCTCACCACGGGGATGGCGTGTGTGACGCCGTCTCCGCTGTCAATGACGATGCCGGTCAGAGTCCTCTGTCCCACCTGCCGGGATGTCCAGGACGCCGCCAACGCCAGCACCGCCTGATGGAGAGACGTACTTTACGCCACAGGGTCCTGGAACCTTCCCCAGGAGTCTGGAAAGTCCTGGAAGCTGTTTAAGAACATCAGCGTGTCTCACCTGTACTGCGATGTAGAGGCCAGGTATGTTGAACGTCTCAAACATGATCTCAGCCAAGTACTCCCTGTTCTCTGGAGTGTTGAGAGGAGGCTCTGTCTGCACACACACACACACACACACACACACACACACACACA